ATGTAGTCAGGAATTTGTCTTAAACAAAATACACTACAATGAACAGAACATAAAGAATATCAAATATATTGTATTTTAGACAGGTGCTGCCTATGGAATTTTTATATAATTACTCACCTCCTGTCTTCCTGTGGTCTTGTATTATAACACTGGAGACACTCCAGAATTACTCAGCAAAATGCTAAAATATATTAGGAGACAAAAGATATTGTATTTAGATTTATTTTAATAGCTGGATACACTGTAGCAAATATGGACTATGCATTCTTCATTCTCTGGTTGAATCAAGACCAAATCATATCGTCTGAGAGAGCCTGAAGAATGTGTAAACCTAGATCATGCCATAGGAATATTAGTGATTTCCAATATATTGCAAAATATTAATGTTCATAGAATTTAAATCTCCTAGAATTGTGGAGAGTTTACAACAACGCCCCTCTTGAATAACTCAGAAGGGAGACCTATGCCCAACCTCTAGGAACTGTATACCGTATTATGTAATAATCACCATGTTGTCTCAGATCAGTAAGCAAGCTTGAAAATATGGCTTTTCCCTCCCATGACAAAACAAGTATAATTAGGCAATCAGGCAACAGAGGTAGATGTTGATTATCTTGAAATGCACATGGGAGTTAATTGGTTGCTATTTTAAACCATCTGTATAGAAAGCAAATTGCGCATTAATTTCAGTGAAAAAGGATAGAAGTGGAAGGATATGATGCTTTTGAACAAAACACTCCATTTTAACTTGTTCATTACAAAGGACATTCTGTTTATCTTCAGATAATTAGAATTTGTCTTCAGTGGAATGGAATAACCTGTAAACATTCAGTTGACCATTTATCAACAGTAAAAAAGATGAAAAGATCAGTTTGATTTAGATGATTGCCAATATGATACAGTCTTCCTTTTCTACCTGTTCGTCCATGGGTCTGGCATACTAGGGACATAGCTCCCTCCTCTAGTGCAGCATGTGCCTGTACTTAATTAATGATATTACAGTACATCCACATTCTAATTTATGCATTTTAATTATACAGCAAATAATTAATGGTATTAAGATGATAGGTCAAGTGCAAACTTTAAAACAGCAGTCAGCAAGTTCAATCATTTTTCCATGTAAGTCAGGATAACTTAAAAACAAAAAAACAAAATTAAGTACGTCATTAAATGAGCAGGGACTTAGATTATAAGGTTAACAGCCATCAATGGGCAGTCAGGTGCACTATAATCACTTGCATTTGGGGCACAAAATATTAAAAGCCCAAGATGCCCATACTGCAAGGGGCATTCTAGAGAGTCCTATGGATATTTACTGAGAAGTCAAGTCAATTGGTTTCTGTGGAGCTTACTCACTAATAAGTGTGATGTATAGCTCCAGAGTTTTACGTGGCTGGAAAGGCGCTTCAGCAAAATCATAAAATATATTAGGAGAGAAAGGATATTGCCTTGAGATTTCTTTTAATAGGAAGCAGTATAGAAGTGGTATAAATAAGTAAACTACTGGAGGGGGCAATTATATGGAAAGCTAAGAAAGCTGACCCTATTCTTTTCCCAATTAGCAGGATATAATGGCATTTTTTTGTTTTCTTTTGTTTTGTGACAAATACTAAGGAAGGTTACAGGAGCATTGCATCACAGAGTGCTTTCTGATTGGAAAATGAAAATTTTCTATAAAGCAAATTAATATGACAAGGAGAAGGCTATACTGGGCCATTCAATCTGGCATGTAGTTTTCCATGTTATTCAGAAACTAGGGATGCTTCCAGTCATTTAGCAGAAGTGAGAAGTCTAGATCCAATAAGAGACCACCAGTATATTATATAGATGTGCTATTTGTGGATTGAATTTACCCTGTTATTACAGAAAAGTTAAAATGATTGTTGCAGTAGAGTCCATCAGTTCTGCTTCCAAAGCAGGACCCTTTAGTAATTACTTAAGTTTCCAGGGTCTGAACTTACTTTAGTCAACAACCTCTTTTAAAATTTTCAAGAGAAATGACTTCTGGGACAGAAAAACAAAAAGGAATAGTACTTTCAGAATTCTAAATATGGGAGATTGGTCATATGAATCCAGCAGAAACCATCCAGATACAATACATTTATGCTGAATGTGGAGAAAATTCTAAATGCCTTTCCGTGAAACTTTATTAATATTGAATAGATAAACATCTGCATAGAAAAAGATGACTGAACTAAATGATTTACTTGCAAAGTTTCCTCCTACTCTAATATTATATGATTTTTAGCTCATATCCTTAAGAGTAAAGGATATTTTCCACTGTTTCAAAGAAATGTATATGCTTGTTGTGCTCCTATCCACACATTAAGACATGCTTCACTTTGCACCTATTTCTACAGCCCTATTCAGATATTATTATAACCTAAAATCTGGACAGAGATAAGGACAGTGTGGAGCTCTAGTTGATGATGGACCTCTGGTGTTTCTATCCTCAATATCCTTATATTGGCAGGGAAGCTCTTAAAATAAATTCTAACCATATTCAGATGTAATTATGTAATTATGGCAACTCAGTAACCATGTAGATTCAGACTTGCTTTACACAGATGTCAGGGCTGGACTGGACAAGTCTTCCCTCCACACAGGATTAATAATAACCAAAGAGAAGTTATGATACAATATCTTC